CACTCACTCTCTGTAGATTAGTCGCTACATGTGGTCGCCATATAAAATGGCACCACCAACAAGGGGCAAGGAGAGGTTAAAGTAAGGGAAACACAGCTGCCAGAATCCCCCTTGAGGAACCGGCCAGGAGAACTAAGTTGTTGGCCATAGCCGCCATGTTCTAACACTCACTCCATCCTCTCCTTACTCTCTGCAAGCACCTCTGCTGAATGGGGTTTATCTGGTATGATGACACAAAGCTCCATTCATGCAGGACCTGTGTCCTTGGTGGTCCTGTTTTTGTGGCCTGCCACAGCTTTTCATTGCCAGGGCTTTGGGGCAAGGGAGAACTATGGGGCCTTTTGGTAAATCTCCTGGGTTTATACCTGGTCCATTTGCCTCACTTGTGACAAGGGCATCGAGACTAATTATCCCCAGCTGATACAGAACACACTTGCTCTGACAAGAGGTTCACCAGCATGAGTTCACAAATAGCCAGGGACAACCTGAGCTTCCAATTCAGCTGAACCATGGCTGGGTTTCCTGATGGACACATTCCATCCTCTGGTCATTGAAACTCATATTCCATCCAGCCCAAGGTCTCAGGGCAGAAAGCAAAAATGTGCTGACCTCTCCTTTAACGCATAACCATACACCAGAGGAGAACAATGCAACCGCACAGAATAGCATCTCCGAGCCAGCCTGAATCTAAGAATTCAGCAGTGTCTCCCCCATTCTGTCTAGCCAGCCACTTCTGCGTGAGGGAACATGGTGGTAACACAACTGAATTATTCTGTGGATGTGAGCTCCTTGCTATGCTCCTTTGCTTTAAAATAAATCCTCTGAAAGGAATAAGGCTGTATTGCCACCACAAAATGGTAAAGACGTTGGAAAAGGCATAGTGTGTGCATATGGACGGTGATTCAGGTAGAAGCACCATAGGCAGGTAACACAAAATCCATACTGAGCAATGTATTGTCTCCTCCATGATAAAGGAGGGTCCATGTCCCTGGACATCCAGCTAGCTCCCCTGAGGAATGACACCATATTACTGACTCAGATGGGGTCTCTGTTGCTGGCATGTTGAACATTTAGTGATAGAGGGAATCAGGTCAGCCTTCGCAAGACCAGTGGTTGAGCCTCTGTATAATCCGATTCCTGTCACTGTGGTCACTTTGCACAGAGTCATGTCCTTGTTCCTACTGAGATCAGAAAACCACATCCGACAACAGAACCTCTACTGCCATCCCTAATCTACAGCTCTACACAGAGCTCTCCAAGGAAGCTGGGCGCTCCCTTTGCTAACGCATTTGTTGCAGTGTATATCCTCTGGGGACCCTTGAAGGGTATGAATAAAGGGTATCTTATCAGGTCATACATAAAAATAAGTCCATTTCCCTTTTCCACCACCCCAAGCCTTTACTCCTTCTCTAAAGTAGTGGTTCTCAATTTTAAAAGGAATCTTCTAGAGATCTTGTTAGAATGATCAATTCTGATTTAACAGATGTGTTTAGTATTTATAGTAGATATATTCTTGTTGATGCTGATGCTGCTTGCGTGCATATCCCACTTTGAATAATGAAGGTGGATCACAATGGCTGAGTGTGGTCTGCAGACAATTCACTTCCTGTGGCAACTTTTTAGAAACATATGCTTGTGCCTTTACCCCAGACTAGCATATTATAAATCTGAACAACAGGACTCAGGAATCTGTCTTAAGAATCACCCATGTTGGGGCGCCTGGGTGGCTCAGTCATTAAGCATCTGCCTTTGGCTCAGGTCATGATCTCAGGGTCCTGGGATCGAGCCCCACGTCAGGCTCCCTGCTCCGTGGGAAGCCTGCTTCTCCCTCTCCCACTCCCCCTGCTTGTGTTCCCTCTCTCACTGTGTCTCTCTGTCAAATAAACAAATAAAATCTTTAAAAAAAAAAAAAAAGAATCACCCATGTCATTCTGATGCCTGTAATGATTGAGAACCTCTGTTTCATAACCTCATGGGGAAGCTTCGACATTTTGACCTCATTGAGCATAAGCTACCTTTGAGACCTGGCTTCTAGTATCCAATCTAGCAGACTCTTAACACCACCACTTGTCAGCATGCTAGATAACACACGACACCCTGAATCGAGGGTGAGTGCACTCCTAAAAAGAAATCCGCCCCAGCAAGTTTTAGATCTCCTTTTCCATCCTCTAACACCTTTAGAGTTTACTCCCATACATGCTCTCTGGCTCCCTGCAAACAGGGCTTGATAATGTCCTGCACCTGTTTTGGTGTGCAGGCTACCTTGCGTTGGGGCTGGTCTTATTTCTGTTTCGGCTGTCTGAAACTAACATTTCCTATGGGCCTAGAGGCAATGAGGGATGGGTAGATGTGGGTCCTGAGAAGAATTATCACCCACTTGTGAAGAAACTGTCTGAGAACAGCCAGTGTAGGGGTGCCTGGGTGGCTCAGTCGTTAAACGTCTGCCTTCAGCTCAGGTCATGATCCCGGGGCCCTGGGATCCAGCCCTGCATTGGGCTCCCTGCTCTGCGGGAAGCCTGCTTCTCCCTCTCCCACTCCTCCTGCTTGTATTCCCTCTCTCGCTGTGTCTCTCTCTGTCAAATAAATAAATAAAATCTTAAAAAAAAAAAAGGAATAGCCAGTGTAAGGCTGTTAAGAAGGGGAGGGCTGATTCCCTGGGGTCTAGGGAGAGGGCAAGGGTTTAACTTCACTGGCCAAAAGGGCCCGAGGAATTCAGAGGTTCAATGTTCTCAGCCTTGCCATTTTCCCACCTCAAATCTCCACGTCTCTCTTATTCCCGGGAATTCAGTGCCATTTTGTTGGCATAAGACACCTGAATGCATTGAGAATTTAAGTTGCCCCGTGTCTCTGAAATATATACAGTTACAAAAAGATGCAAGGCTCCTTCAAAGCTGCCATGAAGACATTCTGGTTCTCCACATGTATTCTTATGGTATTTCATGGCTGTTAATTTCACATTTTCCCTATGTATATATTTTAGAGTTGTCCAGAGAAACCAAATGTAATTATAATTACTACTGTTGCCATAGTAATTAAATGCTTCAGCCACTTGATTGCCCAAAACTCTGCACCTGCTTGTCATCTCAGGCTACTACAGGTGCTAATCTGAATAATTCCTATGCCATCCTTGGCATGGATGAGCCATATGCTGTTTGGAGCTCCCAACCCCAGGGATGGAGATTAGCCCTGACTTCTCAAATACATGCACAGTGCAATCCAAGAATCTCATTTCAAGTTTCTTTTCTCTTGGGGATAATTCAAGCACCAATTACTGTATTAGTTGTGTACTGGCAGGAAGAAGATATTACCCTCAAATTAGGCTAATCTTATGTGGAATTAGCAAAGGACTACTTGACAGAGGTGTGGGCAGGTACAGGGAAACTACAAGGGGTGATGTCATGCACTGAAAAAACAAGAGATATGCAAAGAAAAAAGTCGCCAGATACTAAAACAAAACAAAACAGATACCACAAGGAGAATGTAAGGGCCACACTGAGAGAAGAAGGCACCCAGTCTGGGGAGGAAGCAAGGGGACATATAGCTGGTTCTTACTCTTCCCTCTTCCTCCATCTCTTGCCCATTGGTGGCAGCCACCAGAAATCCAGAGGGCTCAAGAGCCTTCAGATGTAACTCACATCAACATCACACCATGCAGGTGGAGACTGGGTGTGAAGGGCAAACATCTATGTCCACACACTCGTCTACCACACAGCAAGGCCATCTCTCCTCAATGCATCTTGCTGAAAGAATCTAAGAGCAGTTAATTATGGGACACAGATTCAGGTAGAAATAAGAAGGAATTTGTGAAATAAAATTTGAGCAATAGGCTTACGACAGTAAGGACCATATAGGATGAGGCATGACAAAGCTGGGGTATCTGACATTAGTTGTAGTTTGTTGTATGTGTCAGTGTAAAATCATCTCTGATTTCTCTAATTTGCATTATATGTGTTTTACTTTCACCTCTTTCTTCCCATGGAGAGCTACAAATGCCTTTTTAAACCCAGCTTAAGAAAAACATATTTATTAGATTCTATAAAGAACAAGACTCTTTTGTGAGCAAAAAAAAAGCTATACTCACAAGTTTAGATCCTACTGACAGTACTTGTAAGATTATATAATCCTACAACAATTTTCTCTAACATGCCATAAATTTAAAAACAAACTCATTAGGTTCTTCTATAAGAATGTACAATATTCCATTTAACAGTCCACTTATCTTTTTTTTTAAAGATTTTATTTATTTATTTGACACAGAGAGAGAGAGAGATAGTGAGAGGGAACACAAGCAGGGGGAGTGGGAGAGGGAGAAGCAGGCTTCCCGCGGAGCAGGGAGCCCGACATGGGGCTCGATCCCAGGACCCTGGGATCATGACCTGAGCCAAAGGCAAACACTCAACCGACTGGGCCACCCAGATGCCCCATCCTCTTTTTTTTTTTTTTTTGTAATTAGGAGAAAACTCCTAGCCTACCACAAAAACAGTCTCAATGTTCTCTAGGGAATGACATTGAGGATTCCCATTTGGCTGAGTTCAGGACCTGCTCCTGAGTAGGACAATGGGCTCATCTTTCTAGAGAATAAGTTAGGTGGACCCTCTTTTGGATGGAATCTGCTTGCTGACCATGTGGGGGATCCACTTCACCTTAGGAAATCCTTCTTCTCAGCCCCTGGCAAATCCCTCTAGGGCATGACCATGGGGCCCCGTAAAAGTCACTTGCTCTCATAGCTGATGAAAATGGCATTAATCTAATGAAAGCACACTCAAAATGGAATGCCCATTATATGAGATGGTTGTGTTAGTAACTGGGAAATTCTCACTTCACAGAATAATTCCTCCAAAGAAGAGCTCCCATTCTCTCTTCCACAACCTTACATTCTTTTGAATATATTCCAGTTGGGCTTTATCCTAATGTCCCCCCAAAATAGCTCTTGTCTAGGATACAACGGCCTCCTTGTTGTTAAATTCTGTAGTCAGTCCTCAACCTTCAACTTCATTTACCAGCGGTATTTCTCACAATCACGTTCTCCTCCATATCACCCATTCCGCTACCTTTTAGAACACCACACTCTTCAGACTCACTTCTACATCACTGTTCACCCCCTCTCAGTCTTCCCTACTCCTTTATCCTCTTTTCTTTTTTCTTTTTAAAGATTTTATTTATTTGACAGAGAGAGACACAGTGAGAGAGGGAATAAGAGCAGGGGGAGTGGGAGAGGGAGAAGCAGGCTTCCCGCGGAGCAAGGAGCCCGATGTGGGGCTCGATCCCAGGACCCTGGGATTATGACCTGAGCCGAAGGCAGACGCTTAATGACTGAACCACCCAGGCGCCCCTATCCTCTTTTCTTTATGTATCTTCTTTCTTTCTGATGGTATCATCCCATGCCATCTACACCCTTGATTCATGACTCCCAAATTTAAATCTCCACCCAGTCCAAGCGTCACTTTGGGACCAAGGATACACATCCTCACAGCTTCGTCCACATCTCCACTCAGATGACTACTAAGCAAATCCAACAGAGATCTGATCAAAATGAGCTCTGGATCCTTCTATACATTTCTATGCTTACTCCTCTTGTCTTTATTACAACAGTCACAGGAGATTCCTTCTTTCCAATGTTTCCAACTAGAATGGTTATTAGTCATTGTTGACTCAATGTCCCTCATGCCTCACATCCGGTTTGTGAGAAAAAATACTCTTATATATAAAATATATATCCAGATTTGATTTTTTTATTCCCTTTATTGTTACCAATTTGGTCTATGTCAATATTATCTCTTGCCTAGAGTATTGCAATAAATTCCTAGCTAATCTTTCTGTTTTAGACCTTATCCTGTTTCAGTCCATCCTCAACACAACATAAAACATAAGTCAGCTTAAAACTCCCTAATGGTTCCCAACGTCCCTGAAAATAAAAGCCAAAGCCTTCTATTGTTTTAAAATGCCTGGTTTAATTTTGTCCTTTCAGTCACTAGCCTACAAGTTATTTCTCCAATCCATGAAGCACACTCCCAACTTAGCACCTTGGTCTTGGGCTCTCTACCTGGACCTCCATCTCCAGGAAGACACAACCACCTACAGACCATATAACACACCACAGACAACATACTCTTATGTTCCTGTTCCCTCTAGCAGGTTTTGTGCATCCTCCTGGGCTAATTCTTCTATGATCCATTAGGAATTATAGTTTTCTTAAGTAATGGATTTATTTTAAACATATATTTTAAAATAAACACATTTGTGGCTGGAAATATTTATTTTTAAAATTCTTTTTTTTTTAAGATTTTATTTATTTACTTGACAGAGAGAAAGAAAGAGCACAAGTAGGGGGAGCAGTAGAGGGAGAGGGAGAAGCAGACTCTCCACTGAGCAGGGAAGCCTGACGTGGGACTCGATCCCAGGACCCTGGGATCATGATCTGAGCTGAAGGCAGACGCTTAACCATCTGAGCCACCCAGGTGCCCCTGGAAATATTTTTTACTGGTTATCAGAAAGCTTAGAATTAGAAGCATATCTCATCACTAATAGGTGAATAATATTATCATAATATGCATTTTCTGAGCCTCAAGTTTTACTCCATCTCATCCCATCTTTATTTTTTTCTTTCTACCTCAATTCTCATTTATGTTATTATGTGATATTTTGTACATTTTAAAAAGTTACCAGAAGAACGGGCGCCTGGGTGGCTCAGTTGGTTGAGCCACTGCCTTCAGCTCAGGTCATGATCCTGGAGTCCCGGGATCGAGTCCCGCATCGGGCTCCCTGCTCAGCGGGGAGCCTGCTTCGCCCTCTGACCCTCCCCCCTCTCATGCTCTCTCTATCTCATTCTCTCTCTCGCAAATAAATAAATAAAATCTTTAAAAAAAAAAAAAGTTACCAGAAGAACAAGTGCGATGTAGATACGTGAATACAATTAAGCACATGCATCATTTCTTCTTGTTTTCTTATTGTTGCTGTGGTGGCTACAGCACCCAATACATCATCAGCCTTCTCAAAAAGCAAAATTGTGGTCAGTACAAAACAATAAAAAGAGCTTCTCAAATCGTGATACGTGTCAAAGCCATCCTAAGAATTCTTACTTGGTGCAGCGAGGTGTATCTTGTGTCCACCAGGTTTCTGTTAGAATTGGCCCTCACCATAAGCTCCATCTGCATCAGGAGACAGTTACTAAACCTCATCCTCTCTGTGAGACAGTAAGTTTACTCCAGGTTTGGACCGCAGATAAATTCCTGCTTATGTGCATCAGAGGGCATGTGTGTGTGTATGTGTGTGCACGTGTGCGTGCAAGTGCATGTGTATAACAGAGAGCCAATATAGGGAAACATATTTGATTTTTTAGAAAAACGAACATGTGCACACACCCACTCACATGCATCATTAGAAACAAATTTACATGCGTGAACAGCCTTTTCTGTTTGGAATGCGGAGTTTAACAACAGGATAAGTTTAACAGTGAGGAATGCTTTTCTCCCATGTGTTTGCATTGTCCGATATTCAAGGAATCCTCTGGCCATCTGGCACAGGGTTAGCAATCAGAGGGCTTCATCCTGGAATTATGAACTTGAGTCCCAGAAAGGAAAGTCAGTTCCATTGCATGAAGTTGTGGTTTAAATACAAAGCTCAGGTGTCCTGTTTTGAGGATACTTGTTGTAGAGGACAGGAAACAGAAGCTTGTTTGCACGGATGTGTGTGACAGCACCAAAGCAATCATATTAGGTAGTGAGTGACGGGGCGGGAGGGTCTGACAGCGTTTGAGACGGTAGCTCACGCTGTTCATTCTTGGGACGTGGTTATGCCATGTGATAACTTCTGTATCCTCTCACCAGACTCATGGCAACTCGGGCATATCCATATTTATATATTCCCAAGGTAATATTTACAAAATAGTTACAAAAATACCACTTTTTGGTAATGTACATGACACTGCCCAGTTGTAAGCTTATTCAACTAACTTTGTTTGGAAGTTTGTTTAGATAATGCTCTATGTCTACTAGTAATTTTATGAAGAGAAAATCCATGAAATGAATGACAGAGGTACATACTAAGCCACATTTAAATTTTTTTATAGCTTTATTTATAGGAGGAACACACAGGGCTCAGGAACTAGTAAGTAAAAAGTGCTACTCAGAAGAAGAAGGTAGCAGGAGGGGAGGAATGAAGCGGGGGAAATCGGAGGGGTGGACGAACCATGAGAGAAGATGGACTCTGAAAAACAAACAGGGTTCTAGAGGGGAGGGGGGTGGGAGGATGGGTTCTACTCAAGACTACTCATGTTACACAATAATTTATGTTCCTTACCCCCAGGCTAAGCATGTTTTTCTTGAACAATGACTCCAATACAGCAAAAGACTAGAAGACCATGTAACAGATGTTCAGAACGAATTGTCCATGCTAAGTGCTTCTGTCTCATTCGCTGTGGGGATATTTCAACTCCTCTTAAATCCTACATATTTTTCTCATCTCGTGTCTCCTCTTCGCATCTGAGACATGGATGAACGTCATTGCTATCATTACCATCTCTGGACCCCATGGGTTGTATTACATCTCATTCCATTTTTAAACCTCATCTTTACCTTCAAGCTAAAGAACTCATCCAATATTGGAAAATCCTGATATTAACAGGAGGAATTTCCTTCTCTCTAAGCCTTAAACCTATACCTGAACATCCCATGTTTTAAGTAGAACACATTATGAGAATTCAGGAGTCACAGCTGACATATATATAAACACACATACACGGGGTGGGGAGGGAGACGGGAAAGGGGAGGACCGGGGACAGTCAGAGTGAGTGTTGAGAAGGAGAGAAATCTAAACAAAAAATTGCTTTTCATAACTCAAAGGACTATGAGATGTGTTGTCAGCCTGATGGTATTGTGGCTGAGAAGGACATGAAGAGGCATGAATGGAGTTCTTACTTCCTTAATATAATAGTGATTATTCACAGATCTGTTGCTAATCTCACTCTTTCCTTAAAAGTTTTGACTAGGCAGAAATGTTATCTTACTGTGTAGAGGAGGAAATAGCAGCAGGCTAAAAATGAGGGTAAGTTTTTTTTTTTTTCTCTATGAACTTACCCACTTTATAAATACATTACTCTTCTCTACCTCTATAATCTCTTATGTTCCCCAAATTGACTTTTTTAATACAAAAAATAATGATACAGCAAACTAAGTCATTTCTCTTACTCCTGTTTCCTTATAAAACATAATGAGATGCCTATCAAAAACCTTGCATTGTTGCAAAATTAGAAGGCTTTCTCATCCAGCCAGGGTACGGCTAAGCAAAGTGCATCTCAATGTTTTATCATCAGTATGTGATCGAGATGCTTAATATAATTTTTAAGTTCTGAGAGTATTTTAATTAATTTAAGATGTTTGGCTCATGTCCACTTGAATTTAGATTCAGATGCTCAGCAAGTCTGTATATTTAAAATCTCTATAAAATCAGCCTCACTACCTGCAAGCTGTGTGTGAGCAAACTCTTTGCTCTAATCAAACTAGAACTGTGAAGTGTGGTCAATTTCTAAGTAAAAGCAGTTTAAGTTTATTGAATAGGGCAATTTAACAGTCTCCCTGATTGTTATACTTTAGAAATTGAAATGCCTGTCATTTGGACTACTGTGTTGGGTGGTGACAGTTTCTTTCTCTGGAATATCTCTGGTGAAATGATATATCACCAGGAGGTAATATCAAGTTCTTAGCACTTAACACATTATTCGCCAGGGGAGACTCTCAGGAACTTAATGGTCACCATGAAAACAAGTGAAACGATAGGGACTACACAAAATCGAATACAGAATGAGAATATCAGATTTGTTGGTGAACTAGGAAAAAGAGATATAGGAAAATATATCGCTCAGATTACCCACCATCAACTTATTTTTCAAGCTTTATTTCTTTCACATGTATTCCCATTCACAAACTTTTTAAATGAAACTGGAGGACCTTCATGTGATCTTTAAAATATAATCTGCATTTTCTCATCTCAAGATCTCAAAACAATATTCTATCCACCACTTTGACCCACACCAGTGTCCCTTTCCT